GGAAGGAAGGGGCTGCAGAGAGAGACCTTTACAGTTCACAGCAAGGAACCGCAAATGGCCCCGGGGAGCCGGCCAGCCCGAGGTCTCTCGGGTCCTGGACAGGCTGGAGCCAGCCCCAGCCGGGCTCCAGGCTGCAGCCTCGAGGCGGAGGGGGGCGGTGCCAGGAGCCCCAGGCCGCGCTGACCCCTGGGGGCTGTGTGAGAACAGGCATCTCCTCAGACCTGGCTTCCGCTTCAGCCTCTGGGGTGCGCAAAATCCCTTCCCCACGCACGCCCCGCAAGGCCCCGCCTCAATGGGCCCCAGGAGCCCCAGCCCCCGCACACGTGGGGTGCCCCCGTCCTCCTGCACTGCCGAATGGGGGTGCAGGCTGTGCCCACAGCTCCAGCCACGTGACAGGGAAGGAGCCGGGCAAGGAGCTGCTGCCCCCAGGGTGAGGGCACGACCCAGGGGCAGGCTCACCTTGGGCACGGAACCAAGGAACCTCTGCCTTTCCGTGGGCCGAGCCGTCCCCATGGGCCAAGAGAGAGCTGAGGGCCTGGGGGCTTCCCAGTGTGTGTGGGGGGCACGTGCCCTTCTGCTGCTTGGGTCACCCCGAAGCCTAAGGAAACCAGCTCGCTCAGGGCCCGCTGGGGCAGCTCTTCCCTTTGGGCACGGTCACACCCCCTGGCGTCCAGGCAGGCCTCGTGCCCGGGCGCACAGATGGAGATGACCGGCTCCCCCTTCTCCTGGCGGCTGCGGGGGCGCCTCGGGGCTCCCCTCACGCAGATAAGGAGGTAGGTTCAAGGCTCGGGCCTCCCCTGGCGTCTGTCCTGCCGGGCGGCCTCCAGGGGCCCCCGGCGCTGGGCTGGCAGAGGCCGAGGCCAGCGGTGTGGCCATTAGCTGGCGTCACAGCAGGAAGACCAAGCCCGGCCTCCTTACCCTTCTCTGCAGTTTGCAGTGTCGATGACATCGACAACATGCTGATCACACCTAGGAACCGTGTGGTTGATGTGCCAAAGTGCTGTTCTGGGCGTGGGTGTGTTCTTAGTAGTTCACAATGCTGTGCAACTGCCCCTACTGTCTCGTTCCAGAACATTCCATGGCCTGAAATGAAGTCCCTTCTCCCTTAGCGGTCACCCCCATATCATCCTTCAGCTCCTGGTGCCACAGACCCATTCTCTGTGGCTGTGCTTGTCCTGGACGTTTCTGGACAGTGGCCCCAGCCGCGTGGCCATGTGTCCAGGTTCTCTCCTGAGTGTCCTGTGTTCACCTTCTCCGTGGTGGCGCTGTGGCCAGTGATGGTCACCGATGAGGGGGCCTGACTTGGGGCCACACCCCTGGGCCTTGGCCTGGCTGGCTGCGCCCCGCCACGGTGCCGTGTCTGGCCTCGCCGTGTGCAGCCAGACAGCCCTGCAGCATCGCCTCTCCACTTTCTCTCCACTTTCCCACAAAACTTTGAAAGCTCCGTGAATTCCTGACACCAGGACATTATGAGGTGGGCTTCAGAGTCTTTCAAGGGGGACAACAGAGGAGGATTGGTGGGGGTTGGGGGCTGGCAGCTGTGCAGGGGCCCGGGGGTGGCAGAGGATCACACCCCACAACACGCAGAGTTGCGGGGCCTGGCTGGCCCCCCACATCCCTTCCTGGACCCCAGGCGTTGGGGTTTCACCACCCACCGTTGGGGCTCAAAGGGGCCCAGGATGCAATTTCCAGGCCCGACTTCCCCTGCATCCCGGCAGCCTCTGGCAGCCCCAGGGAGGTTCTTCCCGTTACCACCCCAGCGGCCGCGTCCCGGGGCCCGGTCTCGCCCGGGGCTCTCCACCGCCAGATGAGCCCACCGGCCCCTGTGGTGCTGAGGCTTGGACGGCGGGCAGGCCCAGGCGCAGCTGCGGGCCGGGGCCCTCAGCGACTCAGAACTGGCCAGGACCCTGCAGGTGGGGCTCCCGGCAAGCGCCAGCCCCACCCTGCGCGAAAGGCCCTGGGGGGGGGTCCCCCACGTGGGGCCAGGCCAGCAGCAGGGTGGGGTCGTTGGCTGCAGTCTTCCCGAAACCCTGCCCCTACACACACACCGGTTTGGGGAAGCTGCTGGAGGCAGCTCCGGGAATCGGGGCTTCTCTGAGCCTGGATGATTTCCGAATGAAAAGCGGAAAGCCTCTCCGTCAAGCCCAGCGCGGCCACAGCGAGTCTGTGCGGACCGGCTGGCAGGTGCCTCGTCTGCCGTGTCTCCTCGCCCCTGTTCTGCTGTCACCCTCTGGGCTGTGACTCCCTGAGCTGCCCTGGGCGGGGAGGCCTGGGCACCCCCACCCATGCCAGGCACATGCCAGTCATGACAGCCACAGAGTCACCCCATCTCCCTGGGGGTGGGCTGCCTGGGGGCAGCCGGGCTGGGCAGAGGGAAGAGTGACCCCCGGGCCCTCCCTGGTGGTGCAGCGGGTTAGAGCACTGCAAAGCTTTCCCCTGCAGGAGCTCGATCCCCGCCGGGGAGTGACCCACAGCTCTTGTATGCATAGATGAATAAATCTTTTAAAAAAAAGTGACCCCTGAGAGAAAAGCGAGCAAGGTCTCGGTGCAGGACCCAGGGCCTCTGGTCCCTGTTCCTGTCCTCTACTCGTGGGGCTCACCCCAGCCCCTCGATACACGGACCCACCCCATTTGGAGCTGTGGGGCCACAGGGACTCACGGGGGGCAGGGCTGTGTGTCCTCACCAGGGGGCCCCCGGCCTGGGGTGGGGTGAGACCAGCGTCCCAGCCTCGAGCGATTGTGGAGACCCCAAGTGTGAAGCCCCAGCATCCTTAGCGGGATGTGTTTTATCCCCCAAAACTCCCCGCAGCCCCCGAGGCGGAAGGAGGAAGTGGGGCTGCCAGCCGGGGTGTGGGGCAACCCCAACGGCCTCCCCGGCCGGGGCTATAAGAGGGCCGAGTGGGCTTGGGGTGGAGGCCAGGAGCCCCCGCCCGACCATGGCACTCACCCGCCGCCCCCCCGGCACTGCCCTGGGCCCTCTCCTGCTGTCCGTGCTGCTGAGTGGTGAGTGGGGCCGGGCTGACCTTGGGGGTGTCCACTTACGCCGGCCAGGACACGTGTGGGGGCCCCAAGCAGCGCTAGGGCTGCCCGGGGTGCAGAGGAAAGGGGGGTCCTGGGCCGTCTGGGTCAGTCCCTCCTGCCACAGGGTCACCGCCAGCCCTCCCTGCCCACGGCGCAGGGGGCCGTCCGTCAGCCGGCGTGCTCGAGCGGGCTGAGGGGAGCCACGGGGCCACATCCCTCCTCCTCACGAGGAATGTGGGTGCCTCGGTTTGCCCATCTGCGAAATGGGTCACGCCGGGCTCTCCCCTCCCACCCCCATCACCACCTTGCTTCTTGAAAGCCCCTGGCCTCCAGCCGGCGGCCCCCAGGGAAGCC